AGGCTGCCCAGGGAGGTTGTCGAGTCTCTTTCTCTGGAGATATTCAAGACCCGCCTGGACAAGGTCCTGTGCAGCCTGCTGTAGGTGACCCTGCTTTGGCAAGGGGGTTTGGACTAGATGACCCACAGAGGTCCCTTCCAACCCATACTATTCTGTGATTCTGTGAGTTATTGTCTGTGCGGTGCCTTCTAGCAGAGGACTCTTGTATAACACTTGAGACTGAAATAAAAAGTCTTCCTGCAGAAGATCCTTCACAAACTCTTACCACAGACTTGCAAAAAACACTGCAATGAGAACCATTGGTCTTGATAAGATTGCCTGTGCTAACAAGTTCAGCCTTTAAATGCTAAAATTTGATTCTGGCTGCATGTGAGAGTCAACACTATTTATATTCCTTATATTAAAGCTCTTTTTACTGAATTGTGTAATTGTCTGCATTATAAATTCTGAATTTGCAATCAGATCATAATCACTGGTTTCTATCAGAACCGAAAGCATCAGCAGCAGCTTGGTGGCAGCTATCAAAAAGATTCACGTCTTGCTAGGTCCAACCATGAACCACAGAGACCAAGCAACAAATTAAAGGTACTTATGCTAGAAACATACATCCTCTAGAAATAAAAGTCTTTTAAAGATGTCTGTAATGAGAAAGAATATTCAAGAAAATAAATGATGTGAAAATAAAAAATAAAGGGCACTGTAAAATTTACAAACACTTTTCCTAGGTAATCACATAATGACACGCCATCACCTTCTGCTGGGGGGGAGCACAAAAAAACCACATCTGTTACACAAAAATAAAATACAATCAATAGGTCAGTCACGCACAACATCACATGAAAACAATGCTTCCACTTCCTTAAGCTACTCTTTTGAAAGGAGAATTGACTCCAAAGTATCAAGCCAGTGCTTTGTCACTCCAACAGCACCCAAGGTGTACAGCCAGCACTGGGAGACTGTATGTTGTCAGTGAAGTGGTTCCTTTTTATCATCATCTGGTTTGCAAAGAGGTAAAAAGTTCTATGTATGACCTCTCCCCACCCACTAGAAGGCAAGCACATTCATGTTCGCTTTACAAACCTTCTCTGCCATTTAATGATACTCTTTTCAAAATGCTTGCGTTCTGTATCCAGGTTTGTAACAAGGAATTAAAGCCTGTTTAACAACTCTAGACCCTGCCCTCAGGCACAAAAGCAAGCAGCTTTCATTGCCTTAAGAACATTCCCTTGCCAAGCTTCACTAAAGACCTCAATCTTCCTTCTCCATATCACTCCTGAATGCAAAAGAAGCTCAAATGCACATTTATAGACTCAGTTAACACCACTGGATCATTCCTTACTCTACGCTTTACTAAGGGGAAGTGCACAGCTGGCTTCATCCACTTAAGGCGAAACAGACTACACCAATAAAAAATTAAAGAATATAAAAGCAAACAGCAGTTATATCAAGGAAAAGACATTACTAACCAGACCTCTTTTCCTGATCTACACAGAACTACTCTCAAAACCTACCTGTTCCAGATGGGACAGTATGTTAGTCATATGACGACTAGATGCTAGAATCTGCATCAGATGTCTGCTAGAATCCCACTATTTAAAACATAATTATTTAACTCACTAGTTCATTACGCAATCAGTGAGACTGTCTTTGCTATAGTTGCCATTAACACAAACCAATGGACAGTGGCTGTTAGGTATGTTCCAGGACAGGAAGATAGTCCAAGACAGTAATTTTAAAGCACAATGGACACAGCCAGTGCTTTATGGATTAGGTTAGTTTCATGCAAACAGAGAAGGAATTAAAAAAAACAAAAACAAAAAGATCATAACATGGTAAGAGCCCCAAACTGAAACCCAGGTGCATATGAGATACTGAAGATTGGGATTACATGAGTGGTCGCTGGGTGTTTGACAAAAAAAGATACCCCTCTTTCTGGAACACAAAAATGTTAAAAATACCACAGCAAGTAGAATATACTAGAAAGAAGCCTCAAAAAGAATGTGAATAAGTGCAAGAAATAAGACACCGAGATAAGCCTAGAGTCAGAACATTTTAATGCTGACTGTTATTTAGACAAGACCTGAAAAACCATGAACAAAAAAATTAATTTCTTAAACTACAGTTACTCTTTTTCATTCTTATTCTGAACAGGACACTTTGTAAGCAGTCAAATATCTCTGATGTCACACTTCTTCATAACTCTTTTAAAAAATTCAAAATAGACAACACACACTATTTTTTCATGCAAGCAAAAAACCTAAAAACCAAACAAAACCAAAAAGATGAAAAGGGAAATAAAGCTGTTAATTTATCAGGTTGTATAGACTAATGATTTCTGATACCCCTTCATCTGAAAAATACTTCACTTGTTTCTTACTGCAGATCTACACATCACCACCATTTTCCTTCTGACTCGGGAAAGCAGGACAAAATTCCTTTTGTAAAGATTAACATCGCTTCCCTAAATCACTCATGGGAATAAGCCGTCTCCCTGTAAGCCTTCCAGCTTAGGCAAGAGAGAAAGGATTTACATTTCCAACTAAGCAACCCTTCAACTTGTGTTGCCCAGACGCACAATCCAAAGTCTGCCCTCCCCCCCAAGTAACACTCAGTTCTTTCAGAACAAGTTAAAATGGATTTAAGAACCAGTGCAGTGTCAAAAAAGCTAAATGATCTGGACGAGGAGATCAAGTGCACTCTCGGTAAGTTTGCAGATGCCACCAAGTTGGGCAGGAATGTTGATCTGCTCGAGGGTAGGATGGCCCTGCAGAGGGATCTGGACAGACTGGATTGATGGGCTGAGGCCAACTGTATGAGGTTCAACAAGTCCAAGTGCCGGGTCCTACACTTGGGTCACAACAACCCCATGCAACGCTACAGGCTTAGGGAAGAGTGGCTGGAAAGCTGCCCAGCAGGAAAGGACCTGGGGGTGCTGGTTGACAGCTGGCTGAACATGAGCCAGCAGTGTGCCCAGGTGGCCAAGAAGGCCAACAGCATCCTGGCTTCTCTCAGGAACAGTGTGGCCAGCAGGAGTAGGGAGGTGATCGTGCCCTGTACTCGGCACTGGTGAGGCCACCCCTCGAGTACTGTGTTCAGTTTTGGGCCCCCTGGTTTTCCTGCTGTCTGGGTGCAGAGGGGGGAGGCCCTGCTTCGGGACCCTCCCAGGCCTTTGGGCAGCCCGCGGCAGTGTTGGGCCTGGGAGCTCTCCTGAGCTTTGCCTTTTTCCTCCAGGAAAGTTCATCATGACAGCTTCCAGCGACACTACCATCCTGATCTGGAGCCCGAAGGGTGAAGTCCTGGCCAGCATTAACACCAACCAGATGAACAACGCCTACGCCTGCGTGTCGCCCTGCGGGAGGTGAGGGCCGAGGGGCCGTGTTCTGTACAGCTACTTGAAAGGAAGCTGCAGCGAGGTGGGTGTTGGTCTCTTCTCCCAAGAAACAAGTGATAGGACAAGAGGAAATGGCCTCAAGTTGCACCAGGGGAGGTTTAGACTGGATATTAGGAAAAATGTCTTCACCAAAAGTCTTGTCAAGCATTGGAACAGGCTGCCCAGGAAAGTGGTTGAGTCACCATCCCTGGAGGTATCAGACCTGTAGATGTGGCACTTTGGGACATGGTTTAGTGGTGGACTTGGCAGTGCTAGGTTTACGGTTGGACATGATGATCTGCAGGGTCTTTTCCAACCTAAACGATCCTGTGGCTACAATTAATAAAAAATGTGCATTAAGAATCACGTAAGATACTGTTCTCCAACTGGTTAACTTACCATCTTTGTTCAGCCATTGTTTTCTTTGTCTGTAGAGGAGAAGTTTATTGTGGACATATGGCAAAAGAAACTTGACACACCAGCTCTCCACACCAAGCTTGTTTTCTACCAGGACAATAGGGCTCCGGTTATACCTGGCTTCAGGGCAGGGTATTAATCCAATTTCATCTCTTAAAAAACAGAAATAAATATAATTAAACTTTCCAGTAGGTGTCAATTATTTTTCTCAATAGAGCAGACTGACCATGTTTCCCACCTAGGGAGTCCATCATCTTTTCCCTGTTTTTACTGAAATCTGTACTCATTATCCTCAATTCACCTTCTTGAGTCTTGCTTGACTGCAGGTACAATAAAATGCATTTTTCAGAAAGCCATCCTTCGCAAAACTCATGCAGTATATTAACTTGGCAAACAAATGATTCAAACATGTTTTAAGGCATGAATTAAGATTTAAGCTGAGCAAAAAAAGTAAATGTATTTTACCTCTATACAATGTTTTTGAGTTAAGAGCCACCACAAAAACTTTGTATTTGTTCCCCAATGCTGTAGTGATAGAAACCCAGAAACATTTTAAAACTCGCAGCAGACTCTGGAAGTAATAGCCACGATTAGATGAGCCAGCATGAATTAAAAAAACCTTTATATGTTCTCTAGGAAGTTTCCTTTTGGTGATTCTGGCTCTTCTCACCTTAAGATAATCGGAAAAGTTTTATTAGATTTTTCTACAGACTCTAAACGAAAAAGGTCCCTTTTCATGTGTTTTTAGATTATCACTATTGCAAGTACCCCTGGGTTTGCAACAGAGATGTGATGGAGCTGTAACAACCGCTACTGCAAGGGAAACAAAGCACGTTAACCAGTACAGGCACTTGACTGACCCAAAGCCACCCAGGCGTGCCCTACAGCAGCGTGACCAGGTGCTCTGAAATGACAGAGCATGCAACAGAAAAGCACATAGACAGCAACGTCTGTGCTTCCAATTCCCATTTTTCTGTCTCCTATGCAAGGCAGCCTGCTTGAAGAGGGGGAAGGTATGACACATATAGGCCAGTCTGATTAAATGGCAACTCTGTATGGCAGGCTTTAATCAAACCTTTTAAAAAAAAACAGTGATGGCCACAAAAATTCATCCCAGCAAACAAAGCAGAATAGACTCAGCTGTTCAGTTCCAAAGGGCCATGTCATATTTTACTTTTTCATCAACCTTCTCTAGCATGTAGGAAGAGCAGTTTTAACAGCGTGTTAAAAACAAACACAGATTGTCAAGCATTCACACTCCTTTGGACAGAAAGCAACATTATTTTATATCTTCCATTAAGCATGATTTCTCCACCAACTCCTGTTCAGTGGAAAATTTTGTTGTTGAGAAGGGAGATCCTCAGATCTCAGGCAGGAAAAAAGGATCTCTTGTGATCTCAGATAGAAATCAAAATCTTCACCTTAAATTTTCTCAATATAAGGTCTACAAAAACACTCCAAGTGTGAACCCCACAACCTCAGTTATCTTCAACTAATTCTGTTACTGAACAATCTGAGCGTACCGATTTAGGTCTGTCTTCTCACTGGATTATCACCAAAGTAATGAAAAATGACACCATATGCTTGTTTCAGAATACATTTGCTTACTCAGAAAATGGATTTAATCTCACATACACCACAAGTATACAAAGAGCACAAGTAACTTGAGGTAAGATACTTGCAAATCACTTTGCCTCCAAACACACACCCAGGTCCCTTACCCACCCCTGCACATCTGGGAAGAGAGAGAAGAAAGCCAGCATCGTCCTAGCCCACCAACTGCAAGCCATGGGTATTGATTACCCTGCTTCGGCAGGAGGGTTGGACTAGATGACCCACAGAGGTCCCTTCCAACCTCTACCATTCGGTGATTCTGTGATCTGTGAAGCAAGATCCTCACCACTCAATACAAGTTAAGCTCTTCAGGAAGCTAGTCACATTAGACATAAAATGACATTCTGAAAGAATGCTTCTAGCCTGAAGTTTGTGCTTACTGCTGGATCCTTTCTTTCATGAATGTGAAACCCAGTCCTTGGCCAAACTTCACCTGGCCTTGCATATAGGGACATACAGGTCCCCACCTGCGACGAAGGTGCAGTCATGCACAGCTTTGCTCATTAACTCCAAGAATTACCACAAGAATTTACTAGTTGTTGCTCACAAACAGTACACCAAAGGTAAACAGTAAGGAGAGAAAAAAAATATTTCCATACGTCCACACCTTCACTTCTTACCAAATACAAAATGACTCAGGCGAGCTAGGTTTCACAACACTGCTTTAAACACGCCAAAATGACACACAGGTAGGGTTTACACAGAGCTGACAAGTCAGCACGAAACACCCCAACTCCAGAACGCGCTCAGCTACCGCAGTCAGCAGAGGACTAGACCACCACATCACGAAATTCACCAAGATACTGTGAAACACAAAAAATGTTTTATCTGGTAAACTACCCAGTTTTTGCTAAGATGCAAACCAGGACCTGTGGTTGAAATGTTGTCTCCAACACCTTGGTATTGCTTTTGATGATGCCTGTGGTTCAGAAATCATACATTGCATTCGGTTCCTCAGAGGGAACAGAATACATAATGCCAAATACCAGGAGGGCAGACTTATCTAAGGTGGGGTGCCTACCTCGCAGCCAAAACAATTAATTCCAACCATCACTTATTTCTGCTCCTAAAGGCCCCTCAGATTTGCAGAAGGAGCAAGTAACAGGGCCGGTGCGTCAGCCCAGGAGACACTGCTTGAGGACACTCGCAGCCTCTGATCCACCGCGCACCTGAAGAAAGCTTCTGCAGCAGGACTCGCATGCAGGCACCACTGAATCAGTGCTCGCAAGATGAAGTGACGGAAGTAGCCTTCATCTTGTGCAAACCACCCCAGCCATGCGACAGAAGACGTGCCTGTTCACAAGGCAGGATTGCCCAAACTCACTGCAGGATGGAGGATGCCCACACTGAGGTCAAGTGGCAGGTGCAAACTGCTCACAATACTGAAGGAGACACAAAGTGAGGGCTGCTGTCGGTCGGTATTTTGTACTACCAGAAGCACCACCTACTACGAAAGTAAGGTTTAGTTTCTCTACCTAGATTTCCCAGTTTTATGACATTGTCTCTTGAATGTTAGGAGTAATTTGGTGCTTTCACATTTATTTTCCTAAACGCAAGCACCACAGTCACATTCCAAAAACTGCCTCTGTATTTACAGAATGCCACGCTAGTTCACATTCCTAAAATACACCATGGAAGCAGCCAGAACTTAGTGGAAGATTTTAGCTGGGTTGTCATGAAGTCTGCAGCCATTACCGAGCTTTTTCAACCTGTGCTGAGACCAGAGAAGATGTGCAAGATGAGACCTGGGAGACCATGGACCTGCACAGTCCAGACCTGGTCCATAGTGCAAACCTCAGCCACAGCAGAACAGTACTGACAGGCCATTGCAGGACCTGCTTCAGCACCCCAGTCTGTTGATTCAATGGACCTCCGCAAAAAAAGCCTAGCCAACCTAGTTTTAAAGCCATGGCGATACAAAAAAGTTCCCTCTTTCACAATACTGCTAGGGAACAAGGCATTGCTTGTGATGCTGCCGTGATGAGTCTTCAGCTTTAGGCACACCATGTGAAGCGACCTTCTCCGTTTTTTTTCCTGGAAGATCATCTTTAAAACAACCAAACCTCTCCCCGCAGAATTAGACAGAGGACATTAAATAATGGCTGGGTATATAATAAGTGGTATATTTGGAAGTACCAATGCTGTACAAAGGTATTAAACAATCTAACAAAAACAAACATTGGCAAGACAATTTTCATACTTCTTTATGGTAAAGACTTTAGGCAGTATGTTTCCCTCCGATTCCACTGCGGAGAAATCTGCATTAACACCAGGAGAAATCCTGATTCAGAGTCTCAAATCTAACAAAATGAAGTGTGGTATTTTTAATACATTAAGAATATGATGAATTGAGACAGAAAAAAATACCGTCTGAGCTACAGTGACATAAATTACTCTTGGCAAACCATAAATAGCCTCCTCAGACTTTGCACACAAATGCTGGGCTACCATCTAAGAGTTCATCTTTCCAAGTACGCCAACCAAATTCATGTACTTTTTTTGAGAAATTAGTCTATTTCTGTTTGACTTCCTGTGCAAAAGAACAACAAAGTTCAAAAAGAAAGTATA